AATTCAAAGATTAAAAATGGCTCACAGATTTAGGGTTTTTTGTGGATTTGGCTGCTCATTTAAATGAGTTGAATATGCACCTTCAAGGTGAAAATCAGTTTATCTGTGCTGTGTTTCAAATCATAACAGCACTTGAAATGAAACTTAAATTATGGCAAGCTCAAGTTATGACCAATAATTTCATACATTTTGACGTGTTGGCTAAACAAGGTCCTGTGAACAGCAGAAAAGATGCAGCCTTGCTTTTTATGTTGATAAAAAAAATTGAGAATAGGTTTCAAGATTTCCACAAGATATCATCAACTGTTCTGTATATTTGCAGCTCCGTTTTCAGTCAACATGAATACAATACCTGCAAGTTTTCAAACAGGATGTAAAGGCTGCAATCAGACATCCAACACAAAGAAAATTCTGATCATGTTTCTCTCTAAGCTTTTATAAGACAGTCTTAGCACTTTACAGCCACACCTCATTCACATCATCACTTTTGGCAGCGCATACATTTGTAAACAAGTGATTTCGAGGATGAAGTACAAGAGCAACATTTCAACAAAAATCTCTGATGAACACCTGGAGAGCTCACTAAGAGCTGCAACCACTTCCACTGAACCAGACAACGATGCATTAATTTCACAAAAACAAGGTCAAATATCCCACTTGTTTTATGTTTTTGTTGCTGATTTTTTATTTTAATGAAAAATAAACATATATGATCAGTTTTGTTACTTATATACATTAACTATATTGTATATTCTATATGTGGCCCAAGACAATTCCACTTCACTCGGCGTGGCCCAGGCAAGTCGAAAGCTTGAACACCCACAGGTAGTTTATGATCAGAACAGGGTCTAGCATACAGATTCCATTGACTGCCTTTGTGCTGGAGGAAGCTGTCCCACAGATGAAATGAAACGAAAGAGGCAGAGAACTCCTGACTTACGCTGGGTTTCCCTCCTCTCTTCAACTCCTTTCTAACTGTAAGTAGGTCACTTCCTTTCTCTATAGCAGTTTCCTTATTTCTTTGGTACCGATGCTAACTTGTACCAGAACTAGGATGCAATCAGATAAGAAGCACTAAAGCTTATAGAACTCAGAGATTCTTGATGAGAGTTGTTTGAGACAAAAATCCACCCTAATCACCTTAGTGAGTCAGTAATACCGCTTAGGTTTGAACCATGGGTTGCAATTCCTGTGCGTCCCACACATATCTCATGTCATGAGAGCTAAATGGAGATATTTCTAGAAGAAATATCTGGGTCACCAAGTTCACCTCTTATAAATGTGAAGAGATTCATACAACCTCTTCCACAAACAAATCAAAAGCCGTCTTCTGAATGTTACTTTTGCCCCCTCCAAGGGGGAAACCACTGTTGCTTTTGTGCTTTTATTTTTATTTGCAATCATCTTAGGAAATGCCTTAAATCTAAACAAAAATTAACAAAAATTGCACTAAGTCTTTTATTAGGACTATAGGATGCAGATCACATTCAGCTTTGAAATTAAGAGACCCACTCACACGCACACGCTTGGGCACTTTGTCTTTCTCATGCAGCTCTTTATAAGTGCATTATAGGCACACAGACTCTGCTTAAGCTAACAGACAACTATCCTTTACTAGCGTAACAAATACATAGACAAACAGAAACAAAAGAGCAATTCTTACATACCTATCTGTGTTTCAATTTCTTCAACCTGCAATGCTCTTTGAACCAAGATATCTGGGATCTTTTTCTACTAGCTGTTCTGCTGATCACAAAGCACTATTTACTTACTTTCAATAGAAGTCACTTTGAACGTGGCTACTACACTAACTAAACAGGTCTCCTGATATAACATGCTGCTGCTTCTATGCATGCTTCACACCTACAGATTTCCAAAATTAATTCCACATTTGCTCAATCTTTCTTGTTTGAAAGGTCAAAACAGAATCATAGAAACATCACTATTCCACATCTTATGAAGAAAGGTTGAGGGAACTGGGCTTGTTTAGCTTGGAGAAGAAAAGGCTCTGGGGAGACCTCATTGTGGCCTTCAGTACTTTTAGGGAGCTTATAAACAGGAGGGGGAACGGCTGTTTACGAGGGTGAACAGCCTCCTTGTCTGTCCACGGGAGGACAGACAAGAGGAATGGTTTTAAATTGAGACGGGAGATTTAGATTAGATGTTAGGAAGAATGCTTTCACTCAGAGGGTGGTGAAGCACTGGAACAGGTTGCCCAAAGAGGTTGCGGACGCCCCATTCCTGGAGGCATTCAAGGCCAGGCTGGATGTGGCTCTGGGCAGCCTGGTCTGGTGGTTGGCAGCTCTGCACATAGCAGGGGGTTGAAACCAGATGATCATTGTGGTCCTTTTCAACCCAGGCCATTCTATGATTCTGTGATCTTTGCTCTGAATTAGGCAATTCACCTCTATCCAAACTGTACCTTTTTGTGGAGCTGCAGCAACAAGGTTTTCTCCCACGGTGAATACACCGACTTACGCTTAACATCTGAAAATAAGAGGAATCCAAGTGTCAGAGCAAACAAAAAAACAGCAGGACATTCAACTTCATAAAAAGCAGCTCAAGAGAAAGAAGGAAAAACAACCTATTAACATTACACAGGCTCAAGAACCTAGTCTGCAGCAGGAAGAAACTCTATAGCAATTGCTTAGTGGAACTGGAGACAAAAGGGTGGAGCTGTATTATTTCCAGATTAAATACATCTGTGCACAACAAGTGCAGAGCCAACTGCTCCCTATGGTTGAGTCACCATTTGTGGCTGTGTTTAAAATCCATTTGGATGTGGTGCTCAGGGATTTAGAAGAGGGTTGTTAGATTCAGGGTAGTATGGTTAGGTTGTAGTTGGATTTCGTGATCTTCAAGGTCTTTTCCAACCTGAGCAATTCTATGATTCCACGATATTATGTGACAGGGAGCCAGGAACTCAGTAGTTCTATAATGCAGTTTGCAGGGCAAGGAAGGGTGCCACCCTACAACTGCCCGTGCATTTTGGGCCCAGATTATCTTCCATACGCATCCAACCTTGGCAGGGTCTTTCTTCCACAGCTGAGGCCATTGGACCCAGCTGGTATCTCTCTCCCCTCAGGCGTTTCACTCGTTCAGTATATTTTGTGGAGTTCATTTTCTCCACACACATAGGAAAAAAAGTTTTTGCCAGAACCGTTTCTGCTTTCCTTTCTTCAGACCAAAGAAGGCAGAAAACCTTGAGAGATGAGTTGCACAGTCCAAGCACATAGGAAAGGAATGGTTGCTTTTGTGCCTCATTTGGCCCAGATCTGTGATTAAAGGCCTGGAAACAATGCATGGTGCAGCACATCCACCTGGTTTTCATCACAATGACAGTGTGGATAACTGATCCTGAACCACCCAAACCTTAACTCTTAAGTGATAAATCCACTCATCTCCCTTTTCTCTTATCTGGTGAAGGTCTGGATTTTATCTTTCTAATTACCTCTTTTCTCCTTCTACGTTGTGTTCAATGCTTTTTATCTAATCCCTCAGTTTTTTCACCACACCTTCTTACAAGTTTCTACATCTTCAGCCATAGTAGGAGGAGGATGTGTAAGATTAGATGTTGAAAGGCATTTTTACAGGAATTAAACTAGATACAAAAAGTCTGAGACATCTCCTTCAGTGAAACATGAGATAGGAACCCTTTTGAGAGTTCCAAAGTTCAGAAAAAAGAAATAAACCAGTTTGTGTAGCCAAAGAGCAAGCCATGTCTTTTTGGTTTTGTTTTGGTGAACTCACAACAGTCAGCTGTCACCATCTTTCACCAGAAGGAAGTGAGAACAGTGACACGCACAGCAAAAATGAGCCTCTGAAAGTGGAAGGAAACTGCAGGCTCTCATGTATGCCATTGGGCAGCAGTAAAGGCAGCTTGTCTCGATGGTGGATTATTTGTAATTAACTGTACTAAAGACCTTAATCTTAAATGGTTTGATCTGCTTGAGGGGATAAACCAAACCAGTATGCTCACACAGCTGTGTTAATCTCTTTACGCACTGGCATTTGCTGTGTCTGTCATTCACTCTAAGCACTGTTGGTCCTATACAAACAAACTGTAGTGGAGCAAGAAGGCTGACAACTTTTCACTCTCAGGATAGCCACTGAGCTCCCATTGGGCTGGGGGAAACGTGCACAGAAACTCAGGTTGGAAAAGACCTTAAAGATCATGGAGTCCAACCACAACCTAACCATACTATCTTAACTCTAACAACCCTCCATTAAATCACATCCGAACGCTTTTTAAACACATCCAGGGATGGTGACTCAACCACCTCCCTGAGGAGCCTACCCCAGTGCTTAACAACCCTTTCTGTTTTTCCTGATATCTAACCTGATTTGGCTTGGATACATCCCTCCTGCCCAGGTCTAGGGCAGAAGACTGCACTTCCTGGGTCTTCTCCAAGCTTGGTACCAGCCCTAGGCTTTCTGTGTTGCCCCCACTACCTGCACAGCTCTCTTCACCATCAGCCCGGGCAGGCTATGGCTCAGACTGGCTTTTCTCCTCCACATGTGGCATAGTTAACGATTCTTGGTGAGGATTCTACGATTTGCATTCGGCACACAGAATGCCTTGCCCCAGAGAAGCTACAGTCCTCAGCACAGACCCAGCCGGGGGCTTTCCTCACTATCCATGCTCAAGGCAGAGCTGCACTTCCAAATAACCACCACAGCTTCTTTTTTCCCCCAACTCCTCTCGCACAGCTAGCAAGAACAGCAGACACGCGACCACAAATCGCAACCCCCTTCCTTTTAACCCCCTCACGCAGCACACCAACGTCCAGCACCGCCTCTCCCTCCCCTGACTGACATCAGCGGCCGCCAATCAGAGCGCGGCAGCAGAGGCGCGTTCCCGCCGAGCGGTGCGTGGAGGGGTTGCGTTCCGCGCGTGCGCAGAGTCGCGCGGAGGGGCTGCTGGCGTGCCGTGTGGCGGCCGTGCCTCACGGTGTACCGGCTTCACAAGGCGCGCGAATGACGGCCTGAGGGCGGAACGCCCTCACAGGGAAGTGGGAGGAGGCGGGGCGGGGCGGCGGGCATCATGGCGTGGCGAAGAGGGGCCTTGGCGGTGCTGATGATACAACCTCGCGCTGCGCTGCTCACAAGCCGGGGACCGGCCGCCTCCTACGGGTAATGAAAAGCACGGTCTGGAGAGGCTCGCTGCGTGCTCTGCGTTGGAGCAGCCCGGTGATTGCAGGCGTGTGCTCCGCACGGCTATGAGCCTTAACGCTGCTCGCTCCTTTACATTGCGGGCTGTGGGGCTGTCGGTGTTTGTTCGTCTATTTGCTTGCTGTTTTAAGTGGGTTTTTGCAGGTATGATTATGCCAGGCAATGAAAAATGCGGTGTTTTAACGGACGCTTTGCAAAAACGAAGTCACAGTGGCAGCAGCGATACTGAACTGAGCTCAGACACAGAAGTTTCGTGTGCAGGAGACCACATCTATTTTAGCGATACTCGGCTCCAGGGCAGTTTCTCAGCATGTTAAATATATATATATAAATATATAAATATATATATATATACACATTTTTTTAGTCCAAAAAGCGTTAAAAAAACATTGTATGCGAAACTCTGGAATTCCAATGGACTTTACACTGAGCCACGATCCAGGAGTTGTACGTCACAAGCTCATTCCTGAGCCCCCAACGTTAATAATTGATCGGGAGAAAGGTAGAGCTGTGGAAAAAGTCAAACTCTGTCTGAATCTCAACATCACAACGTACATCTCTCGCCTACAAGAACTACGTGTTGGTTACCTTCTGTATGTGCTACTATTGCAGAACAATATATATGCCATAACAAGAGATTGTAATGTGTTTCACAGACAGAGAAATCCCGTTTAGAAGTAAGGTCGACCCTAACTACTTCAAAATTATGTGGCAGAAGGAGGTTTCTCCTCTGTAATACATATTTTTCCAACACATTTCTGTAGCTATGTAAAGCTGTAATTATATTCCCCTTCTTGGATGGTCAAGGCTTTTTTTCCTCCTTTATCTGAATCATTTAATTGCATTTGTGAAATAGGAGTACAAATGGCAGAAAAGGACCTCAGGAGATCGAGTCCAATTCCCCTGCTAAAGCAGGTTCCCTACAGTAGGTTCCACAGGGAGGTGTCCAGACAGATCTTGAGTTTTCCCATAGGAGACTCCATCACCTCTCCAGTGGTCACATAATGAACCCACCTGCACCCCTGTCAAGTCTTCTGTGTGTCTGTGAAAGGACAAGTAAACAGTTTAGATTTTCCTGTATTATCCTTCATATCTAGACAAAGTAAGTATTCTGCATTCCTTGAATGTCCTTGTAGTAATGAGAATTACCTGTCTCAATGTTTTTGTTTTCCTTGCTGCATCCCTAGTACTTCAATAACGTCTGCCAAAATCCAAGTGAATGGAGTCAATCTGCATTACCAGCAAACAGGAGAAGGGAGCCATGCAGTTCTTCTGCTTCCTGGAATGCTAGGTCTGGAGATTTTGTTTTTTTCTTTATAGTGCAACCACCTCTTTAACCATCTGCTCTTTTGCTAGAGTACAAAAACTATTTTGTAATATATCCAGCACCCAATTATAGAGCATTTTCATTAAAAGGTGAATTATTACACATATAAAAGATAGGAAAATGTAGAGGTATAGCAACCAGTTAACTGTTTTTAAAGATTTTAAATATATCTCCGGGCAACTTTTATACAAAATGATCTTGGTTCTCAATTTCTTAACTCTCATAGTCACTCATACCTTCTGGGTTGGACTGTGGGAAAAGGAATAGGGTGTCCATCAAATAGCTACAACAAGGTGCAAAGTAATGTGAGGAAAAAAAATCAGGTCAGCTGTATTTGTTACACAGCTGATCGTTGCATCCCTCTTAGGAACTAGGTGCATTTCAGTTGAATTAATAAACATTGCAGTTTATTAATAAGACCCTATCTCAGATAACAATTCCAGGAAACTCAGTGTAAGACGCTCTTCTACAGAGCATCATTTTTTATAAGCTTGCCTTCCTACTAGAAAGTTTGCTCTCATCATACTGCAGATACTTCTAAAGATTTTTATTATGCACTTCATGGCTGAGAATTGCAACCCTTAGTCAGAGATAAAGCATAAAGCCTCTTTTTTAGAATTAAGATACAAGTTTCCCCAGTTTCCATCAAGAGTATATATGCTGTATATGTATTATGGTGGTTACTTTAATTGAAGAATGATGGTTTTCCAGGGAGTGGTCAAACCGATTTTGGACCACAGCTTAAGTCCATGAATAAGCAACTATTCACAGTTGTCGCTTGGGATCCACGAGGATATGGACAGTCCATCCCACCCTCTCGAGACTTCCCTCCAGATTTCTTCGAGAGAGATGCAAAGGATGCTGTGGATCTTATGCAGGTAAATCTAGTCTCAGATTTTACTGTAAATATAAAACTATTTTTCTTAAGTTTTGCAGGTGAAAGAGTGCTGCGAAGTACGTGTTGTGGTTTAAGCCCAGCAGGCAGCTCAGCAGCACACAACTGATCGCTTACTGTCCCCTGATGGGATGGGAGAAAGAATCAGAAAGATGGCAATCATGAGTTGAGATAGACAGTTTACTAGGTAAAGCAAAAGCTGTGCATTCAAGCAAGGTAAAATAAGGAATCCATTCAGTACTTCATATTGGCAGGCAGATGTTTAGCCACAGGAAAGCGCAGCTCATCACACATAACTGTTACCTGAGAAGATAAACACCTTCATTCTCAACATCCACCATGTTCCTTCTTCTTTTCCCTTAGCTTGTATTGCCAAGCATGCTCTCATGTATGGGACATCCCTATGGTCAGTTGGGGTCAGCTGACCTGACTTTGTCCCCTCCAAGCTTCTCTTGCACCCCCAGCTTCCTCAGTGCAGATCAGTATGAGAAACAGAGAAATCCTTGACTGTATAAGCACTGCTCTGCAATAACTAAAGATATTGGTGTGTTATCACTGTTATTTTCATTAAAAATCCAAACTACGTCATCATACAAGCCTCTGTGAGAAATTAAATCTATCCCAGTGAAAACCATGACAGTACATTATTTCCAACAGAAAACATGTTAAGCTAAACATACACATGAAGGCTTAAAACTGGGCAGATATACATTGTTCTGGAAAATATTTTCTTCTGCAATATACAGAGAAGTTCAGCTTTGGGAATTACAAAGCAATAAATTCTTATTCCAAAACCTTGCCCTAAGAGATTTACAGATGAAAACCAGTAGGTTTAGGTAAACTATATATGAAAAACAAGGACTAAGCCAGGTGATTTAACTAGAAGAGGTTACAATAGTGAAAAGTTCTTAGAAATTTTTCTAGCTAATACAAGCTTGACATTTTACCTCGAGCAATGCAGTTCAAGAGACATCTGATCTGAAAACTGACTAGGCGCTTTGCATTTTACAGCCTATTACTGCAATAATTTCTGTAGGAAATCAAAGGATTCCTGTAATCGTATCAGATCTTAGCTAGCACTGTTATTGTGATTATGAAGACTATGATTCAGTTGTTATTATCTCTCCATCTTACAGATTTTTTGGTTTTATTTCAAATCTATGTTCCTAAGGTGCTAACACTGTTTTCTGGTTTAGTTCTAACTAATATTTTGGCCTTGTTATGTTAAGCTATACAGTTTCGTTGGCCATGTTAAGAAAGTTGGCAGAGCATGAAAATTCCAAAAATATGAGAGAAGATTCAGTCAGTGAATCCAACTGTATTTAACTGTAACATGCAGTAACCTTACAGAAAGAACCATATGAAGCTGGAAATGCAGTCTTCCTCGAGTATTCTGTGTGGTGAAACAAAATAAGTCTGACAGCAGAATCAGGATTAAAATACAGTTGTGCCCTCTAACCATATAAGCAATCTCTCTGCACAGTAAGTCACCAATTTCTTCTACACAAACAAAGAAAAGAAAGCTGCTATCATTGGTAGGTGACAAACTTTCTGTTTAAATGGTTGGAACTCCCTTTCCCTGCCTCTGTTGAAAAACTAATAGCTGCAAAATAGAAAACAGAGCTAGAGCTGTCCTTAAAGAGCATATAATCGTAATGCAGGCAGTCAAAGAAGGCAGCAGTCCACAGATTTCTAAAGCTGCCAAAACAAATGAGATGTGTTCACTGATGTAAGCATGTAACAACTATTTGTTAAAATCTTCCCAAGGGCAAGTAACTTGATTCTATTTTAGCACAACGTGAAGGATAGCACAAATCCCACGTAATCACCCTAACTAGGATTTCCAGCATAAAACAAAGTCATAGTTCCTGCAGAGGGCTGTCTAATGATATGTGGTTTGCATGCAAACAGCCTGCAGACAAACAAAACCCATTGGTATGAGTGAGCCTTCAGTGCCTTTATTCTGGGCTCTTTCAGATTCTGGTGCCTCTTCTGGAGCTGTGACTGCTGCAGGGTTTCAGTGAAGTAACAGAAGTATAAATTCTGAAGTGTTTAGCACCTTGATGCAGATGACAGTGCTACGCATTAGTGAACATTTTCTGCAAAGGAATTAGATAAAATTGAAGGAGTCTAATGCATAGAGGTCCATTCTGCTATACTCCATCCCAATCTCTAACAAAAATCACAATGAAGGCCCAAAGCATTAAAAATTAGTACTGTGGAAACAGTCAGTTGATATTTAAGAGGTTCTTAGTCTGGAAATCTACTGTTGAAGTAAAAAGGTGGCTTTGGGCTTCTCCCAGTTTTTGTAGATCAACTGTAGATCTTGTGGCATACTTGCTGTGGTCCAAAGAAATAATATATAGTACAGAGTTCATTTTGTTCACTGGTTGGGTAAAGACAGCACAAAATCACCCACAGAACTGAGGAGCTGAAACCTAGCTTACAGGTAACTGCCAGTATAAGTTAGAGGCCTGCAGGGTAAGTCATTCAAAACTAAAGCAAACAAACATGCACACCATTTCCAAGACATCTGTTACATAGCATTGGTTTTGGGGGTTGTTTTTGTGTTGTTTTTTTTTTGGAGGGCCACAGAGGATAAAATAAATTCTTTCTTCTGAAAAGCCATCCTGAGAAAACCCCCAAAAATGCAACAAAATAATGGCTAGTTAATGAGAGAAGTACATAACTGGGGCAAATGGATCTCAGTTAAAGCACTGGCAAATTGCCTAGGATGGAGAATAAAAATTTTAATCATCAGGCAACTTTGAGATGCATAATTTGCTACTGGCACGAGGAGAACAGCAGCAACACCAAAACCATAAGCTTTATGGGCACTGCTGCCAGCTCCTAAAACTTGCCAGTGACACTTTGGCAGAACGATACTGAAAATTGATCATTTGTAACTAATTTTTCTGCAGACCGGGGCCTACATGTAACTAGCTGCTAAAATTCAAGGCTCCTTTTTCTTGCTGTCAGATCTTACCTTACATGTCCTCTATCCCCTATCTTATTTCTTTTCTGTTTGCTAATTAGGGCTTAGACAGATGAAATCTGGGATTGAGCAAGACTACAGTGAGCTTAGTATCAAGGAAGCTGCCAAAACCAGATAAGTACAATAGCAATAGAAAAAAAACAGGTATCAGTTTGACTGATAAGGCTGTGCCTCACTTGAGCATCATGTTTACAAGCAGCAGGAGCAAGCTTCCAGATTATAACTACTTTTTCCTTTCTCTGTAGTTCTTTTGTTTCTCTTATTTCCTGTTTCTGCTTTCTTCTCTCCAAAGAAAGCAGGACTTGTATTCCAACAGCAGAACACTGAGTGCCAAAACAACACATTCAACTAACTTCTTTTTTTCCCCTTCAAAAGTACCACATCTCCTTTAAAGCTATCTAAAATTTTTTAAAAAGAAAAAAGAACACAAACAAACAAAAAAAACCCTTCAAAACTTTAAATTATGCCTTTTTTGCTGAAGAGTTCACAAACTCAGGCTCCTGTATACAAAACTGCTATTGAATATTGTTCCAGTACAAACTTCAGATTTATTTCATAGAATAGCTTGGGTTGGAAGGGACCTTAGGGATCATCAACCTCCAGCCCCTTACTGCATGCAAGGCCACCAACCTCCAGATCTGGTACTAGACCAGGCTGCCCAGGGCCCCATCCAACCTGCCCTTGAACACCTCCAGTGACAGAGCATGCACAGCCTCTCTGGGCAGCCTGTTCCAGCACCTCACCACTCTCGCAGTAAAAAACTTCCCCCTGACATCCAATCATGTAATTCTCTCTTTGAGCTTAAAACCATTCCCCCTTGTCCTATCACTATCTACCCTTGTAAAAAGTTGATTCCCCTCCTGTTTATAATGCCCTTTTAAATGCTGGAAGGCTGCAGTGAGGTCTATTCCTTTGCTTCCTAGCATCTTTATCTTCCTCACCTTTTACTCACTGAACATCATACACACAAAATCCTCTCTCCAGTCACTGATCTTACCCTCTAACACAGGCCTTGGAATATGAGAAAAGTAGCTTCAGATTCTAAGAGGAAAGCAATGTACAAGTCAGAGCTAATTAATGTCCCGGTTGACGTATTTTTTTGTTCTGAGCCTTCCTTTTTGAGAAAAAGATATTGCAATATTAATGTTTTGAATTGGAACTCATGAGGTACTAATATTTAAAATGTCATGTATGCTTCACAAAGTGTGGATTAGGCACCTAAATTTGATACAATCCTATAGCAAACACTCTTTAAGCATTTTTTTTTTTATCATTATAGATTTTTTCTTTAATAGGTCAGCTAACATCAATAAATTAATTCACCCAATTTCATTTTCCAAGTCTTAAACTTTTCTTAAGTTCATCTTGGGTCACATACCATCCCACACTGCAGTACTCTTTGTCAACTTTATATGAAGAGAATCCACACATTCTGTGTACCATGGGTCTCTAAGACTTCACAGTCATAGGACGCAGTGAATCTCTAATACTTCTCTAGGTCTTTGCTATCCATTCTAAATAAACATTTCTTAATGTCAAGACAGCTTCTTAAATGCTGTAAGAATCTAATATAATATAATAATCACTGATTATTTCATTAAATAGTCATGAAAAATTAGAAGTGGGAGTAGAGTTTTTTTGTGTTGTCTTTGTTTTTTAAGTATATGAGCTTTCCTTTAGCAGGAAAATCTACCTGGAAGCTACCCTATCTCATTCAACCATGCAGTGCTGTATCTAGATCTGCACTGCTGCTTTCTGATAAACGCTTCATGTCTGCTTACTAAAAATATCAGTTTTACATAACTTTCTTGTATCAACAAAGGCACTGAAATTTAAGAAGTTCTCTTTGCTGGGATGGAGTGATGGTGGCATTACAGCACTCATTGCAGCTGCAAAGTATCCAGCTCTTATCCACAAGATGGTTGTCTGGGGAGCAAACGCTAGCGTTACTCAAGAGGATGTGAGAATTTATAATGGTATGTATGAACTGGATGGCTAGAGAAATAGCATATTCTAGAATAATTAGTTTCATCTTCATCCAAGGATCTTAGTCACATTACAGCTAAGGAGAGACAGAGCTGAGGACACAACAAATTTAAAGCAACAGGATACAAAATTCACCAAATTGTTACACAAAGGGATAGACTAAAATCATAGGGAAAAATCTCCCAACAATTACTGCAGGGTAACATAGCAGGATTAAAAAGAAGTCGTCATCAACAGCCACTAAAAAGTATAATTTCTCGTAGCTTATCAGTATATTTCAGCAGGTAAGATTTTTGTTGCTATACCAAGTTCCTACATTTAAATTCTAAGTAATCTTACTAACCCTTGGCTGAATTTACTTTCTCACATCTTGCACAACTTTTAGACACGGTCCACAGAAAACTGTTATATTAACACGTAGCAGCTTTACCTCTAGGGCACATATAATATGTAGTAAGAAAACAAGCTTATAACTTGCTATTTGGAGGTCAGAAAGCAAATGAATTATTCATGTAAAATCCCAGAATACCTTTCTAATTTGCATTTCTTTTAAGTTAATTACTGTTACAAAATCCTTCCAAAATAAACACCGGATTTCTAATCATTATTAAATTCACGCAAAATAAAATCTGACCATTTACTATCTAAAGCAAAACAACAAAAAAAGCACTAGTTGAAATTAGAAATGAAGAATTAACTGAAAAGTCTCTCAACAAGTGTAACTGAGGATAGTTTTATTTAAATGATTGGAGTTTGATTTATACCAGCTGTGGAACCTGGCTGTTTTTTCAGCCAAGTATCTGGTGTATGTGTCACACATGTGTACTTAAATCCCTTGTACTGAGTCGTTTTCATTATCAGTAGCAGTAGTTTATTCTGTTTCTTTCTTAGCTTTGTAAACACGCTACGTTAGTTCTCTACATGCTATTATATGAGCAGAGGTTCTATTACATGATAATTACAAAATATACATCGGTCAGAATCAGTCATTTGGAAAAAAAAAAAAGTCTTACTTTGAAAGGACTGCAGGTAGCATCTTCCCCATTGCTGACTTCTGGCCTTTTTGTGGATTGGTGCTTTCAGCTGCTTAAGTATCAGTGCATTTCATCTGCAGTTGAGGATTTGGTAAGAGAGAAAGGTTTTCTTTTGGCACTGTGTCCATTCAATATTTAGCTTTCTTTTTCCCCCATCTTCATAAAATAAGGTCAGCAGCATGGATAGAACAGCAGATTTTGTAATGGAAACAGTTGGTCAGTAAAGTCAGTAACACACAGCCTGGGATGATCAAACTTGTTTCCCAGTGGTTCCCAATCAGACGCTGTTATAAAACAACACTTTCAATCAATCAGTGCTGCTTTGCTCGTTTGGCTTCACAGGTTCTGTTTGTTAATTAATGCCAAACTCCTTTTTCCCCTTAATTCCTGTTTGAAGCCAATTAAGAGCTTTGCTAATGGTGTATATTACTGTGTGAGGAGTTGGCACTTTTCATTGAATAGGTCTCCTTCACATTCTCTGCTTTGTCAACATTATTTTGAGCTTTCTTGATTTAAAGATTTACAACTGAAATACAGTTGAATGAAAGTGACCTTTATGGATGTCTGATCTGTGACCTGTATTGAAAATGTTGGGGGGAAAACAGGTGAACTTGATGTCAGATTCCTTCTACAACTATAGCCAGGATGTCGTGAGTCACTGGGCTCTATTAAGTAAAGTTGCTTGTTTTTCTCTAAGACCATGGCAAATGTCTAATGATGTCAGCCTGCTGGAATGCCTTAGTAAGAGCTTCGTTCTTCTGAACAGTGCTAATCATGGAAGAACTTCCTCCCGTAAGCCAAAGCAAAAGGCTGAAGGATATAAAAAAGTGCTGCCAGCTCTGCCACACTGTTACAAAAATAGTTCTCTTTTTATACACAAAGTACCTCCTTGAACTCATCTTCTTCATACCCTCAAAAAAAAAAGAAAAATCAGAAGGCATAGAAATGTCCTGTGTATATAGTTTTGTTCCTGATGAATGTCGTAAGCCAGTTCTGTAACTCACACTCCAGCAAGGATAATAAAACAACAGTTTTTTTAAAACCTTTTCCCCACTAAGAATTGTTTAAAACTATTCAGTGCAGTTTCAAGTTTGAAATCCACGTCTGCATTCAGCGTTGAAAAATTATCCAAACGTTGTCAGTATTGAGTTTTGTCTTGTTGCAGGTAAGATCCTAACATATTTCATTGTTATCTTATGTAGGTATCCGAGATGTTTCAAAATGGAGTGAGAAGGTTAAGAAACCACTTGAAGAGCTGTATGGACATAAGTACTTTGCAGAAACCTGTGAGGCTTGGGTAGATGGAATAGCCCGCTTTGCTGAAAAATCAGGTGGTAAGGCTTCCATGGTGTTAATCTGAAGCAGTTATAGTAGCAGACAGTTTTGGATAAGAATCCTAGTAGTCAGGAAAGGAAGGCCTCTTCATATGGCATTAAAAGCTGGGTCAGGCTCACACTTATGAATAAAGCAGTTACTTCATAGACGTTTCACAGAACCAGCAAGGTACAGGAGGATAAAGGATTTATGGAAATCATTAGCTGATGAGTCTCTCTGCTTGTTCTGCCATAAAACTACATTAGTAAATAGTTTTTGTCATGCAGATTGAACATGAGGGATTCTGCTCAGCTTTTTTCTGCTCTACTTTCTCATTGTCAAAGGTCTGCCTCTTGGTGACATTTGTAAGCTCTCCAGAATGTCATGTGTGTTCATCTAAGTTTCTGAAACTTAGCTGAAACACTGCTTAAAAGCTAGTAGTGTATAATGAGTACAGAAAGAAGGAAGTTCACATTCTGACAGTTCTAACTGAACAAAACATTAAAAAAATACTATTGACACAGCTTGGCTATTTAAAATCCAGAATAGTTCAACCAGGCAGTATAATCATCCCTGAATGTTTATCTCTGAAAGATTTGTCCAAATACTCTACATAGACTTTTGCAACAAAGGGTATGTCGAAAACCCAGGCCAGTTAAACTTTGAAGCCTCCCTTTATTTCAATATAGATGACTTCAGACAAGTGAATTTTAGGGTTTTTGTTTGTTTGTTTTCCAAATTAAATACTATTAACTTACTGTCTTTAAGTGGCTCAACTAGTTTATACTCTTTACATATAAAAATAAAATCTTTATTGAAACATAGGTTTGTGTGCCATGAAATTTAGTGGTAGATATGTTGAAATTTATCTCCTGTCCCCTGTATTTCCTGTCAAGCCTACATAGAGCCTGGTAAGCTGCTAAAAAATGTAGAGGTCTGTAAAGCTCAGCTCCATTTTAGGGTCAGTTCTCTTTAATGCTTTCATAAATGACTTGCATGCAGGACAAGAAATTGTTTTAAGCATGTTGATGATACTAAACTGGGAGAAGTTGTTGACTCCATCAAGGATGGAGATAGCTTGTAGAGAGATCTTGACAGATTAGAAAGCAGGACAGTCACCGACCACATGAAGTTTAACAAGAGTGGGTGCTGGATTCTGCACCTGGGAAGGGGCAGTCCTGGCCATATGCACAAACTGGGAGATGAGATGCTGGGGAGAAGCCCCACTGAAAGAGATTTGGGGGTCTTATAAACCTATGTAACAAAACATAGCATTGAATGCAAAAAACAACAAAAACTAAGGTTGAAGAGAAAAAAGCAGGGCTGGGGAAAATAGCTTCATTTGCTGTGTCTGTTTCTGTTAATGACCACTAACAGAGCAAATTTCACTGCTTGTGTGCTACTTAAAAGAAATAAATATTAGTCCTGTTAACACACTTCTGTGGAATAATTGCATGCTATCCACAAGGAGAAACAATGGCTAGAACCCAAGTGGAGTTCGAGTCCTTTGCAGAAACAGCTTTGGTCTTTCACTTTTATTTTTTTTATGAAGTGCAACCTTCATTTATTTTCTCCCTAGGTAGTATCTGTCAACAGTTGCTGCCTCATATCACATGTCCTACATTAATAATTCATGGTGAGAAAGACCCTTTGGTTCCACGCTTTCATGCAGAATATATTCATGAGCACATCAAAGGCTCCCGGTAAGTTACACGATGGACTGTTTCTAACTGATTGTTAAAGAAAAGAAGAAATTAAAATACACAACGTTAAAAAAAAAAAAAAAAGCATTTGGACAAATCAGTCCTGCTGTGGATGAAACTATTCTCAACTTCCCTGTCAAGTTATGTAAACAGTGTATTTGAGCCTTTATCTTTATGTAAAAAGAAAGAAGAAGCAATAATTCAATAAGTACCTTCCTAATGTTCTCCAAAAGAAACTAAGGAAAGTCCTCTTGATCTCTTCACTTCTCACCAGATATATATCTTTTTCTTGTTATAGTCATTGCATTCCTTATCTTGTGAGATACCTAACTTCTGTTCCACTCAGTGAGCAATGAATTTAGATGCTAAGAATAGAGCAAGAATACCAGCTAATAGAGGGAGGCAGAGAATACTGATCTCTGCTCTTCCTTATTGATGTGAGCAACAATCTCTAAGATTTTATTTTTCAGAAGTTCCTTGAATTTGTTGTTTCAGAAAAGTGACATGGAAAAAAAAAAAAAATCATACAGCTGTGTTGGAGTATTACTTCATAAACAAGAAAAGTCAAGACATTCATTCTGAAAACCCAAAAATGCTACCCATAAAAAGGAGGGATTCCACTATCTTTCTTTTCTTCATAGATTTGCATATAAATTCAAGTTTTCTATTACTACTCAGCAACAGATCATGCTGATGAACACTCAAGAGAAGAATTAGAACTGAAACATTTTTATGAATGCAAAGTGTAAGAATCTGTTTCACTGATGTCACCTCTGTGAGAAATTGAGTGATATGTTTACCTTAAAGTCAGCTCTGCCATTCATAAAAGACATTATGCAACAGGAAAGATAGGGAAACCTTCTTAATAACCACATACAGATTTTTATTTTAAATGCTTGACAGTCAGTTACTCCCACAGATGCCCTGCTTAGAATATCCATAGTCATGTTAGATTTCCCTGAAAAATGCTCTAAGGCATGCCATAACAAAAACTAGACAAAGATCAGATAGCTTCTTCAGAAGGACCACAAGGGTAGAAAGTGTTAGAAGTTGCCAAACAGTAAAATGTAAAGCTGTTCTTTACATGTCGTTGTGCTGAAGTGCTCTCCCATGAATGTATTTACCCAATAAGGAATCAAACCAAAGATTAAATATCAGAAATACAGAGAAAAGACAGGTACATAACCTCCTTTTTCTCTTGTTGCACTAAAGACAGTTCATAAAAGGTGGAAAGTTCTAAGGTTATTTTCAGTAATAATTTGAATATCACCTTTTCTTGCCTTGATTTCTCTCTGAATAGTAAATTAGAAAAGGTGTTGTTTGTAGTGCAGATACATTGATTCTGTCATAAGCATGCCATCATTCTGTATCTGTATGGCTAGAACATTAGGTATATCACTGTGGATGGTATTCATGAGTGCTGTTCTGTTTGCACATCTGTATATTGCTTTGTCTTTGAAGAAACAGTCTTAGTGAAATTCAGACAGAAATACTAGAACTACGTATGTTCACACTGGTGCTCTTTTCTTCCTGAAACTAAGCATCACTTGATCACCACTAAGAGAATTATTGCCTTTGCTGTAGCAAGATTTAAATGGCATGAAGACAGCAGAGCAAAGTATCAGACAATGTGGTCTTTAGCTGTTGAAGCTGATAAAAGCTGTTAAACAAGGAGTTTCACAACATGATATATGTGCTAGAAGTACATACATGAAGTTTTTCCCAGAGAGAAAACAACAGCAATTAGTTCAGTCTTGTCTCACCTATCAGTTAACAGCCTAAAGATTTAGACTATTCAGAGACCCTCCTAAACCTTTTTGTAGCTTAAGTCACAATTCAACTACAGAAGTACAGACTTCACTTTTTACTCTAAAAAGCAACAGAGGCAAAGCAGCTGAGCTGTTTCACATACCTTTAGATGTATCCTACTCACCTAAATTTCAGCGTCATCTTTCCACACCACTGAAGAGGTTCTTAAACTAGGTCTGAGACACAAACATGTTTAAAGCGTAGTTTATCCTTCCCAAAGTGGAGGAAATATTTTGTTGTTTCAACTTATCCTGTAGTTGACATTCTGATCCACATACACACAGTGCATCAGTGTTACATTGATATTTTTACTTGGGAAACCAAGAGCAAAGGAAAAGGACAAACTGTTTACTTGTGCTCCCACAGTATAGTGCATATTCAGAATATTGGTTATTTTTTCCCCCCTCCTTCTTTTTAGGTTGCATCTCATGCCAGAAGGAAAGCATAATCTACATCTCCGTTTTGCAGAAGAGTTCAACAGAGAAGTAGAAGAATTCTTACGGTGACCTAAACTGTAAAGTTAGAGGCATTTGTCCTTGCACTGTTTAGGAAATTTAGTGATTGTGTTCTTCATTCACATTAGGTATGAGTCTCATAAAGAAAAGAAAAAACAAAAAAAAAGATATTTCCATGACAGGGATCCATATTAACAATATATAAGTCTCTGTGGATCAGAATATGCCACTGTACTTCAAGACATCTAACATGCCTTGAAACTTAATCAGCCAGTGGGGCAAGAAATAGCTGTTCTTTGTCTGATGGGGGAGATAAGAAAGACAGAAAACATAATCTAGAATGCATGCCTTTATGTGCTCTTAACGTTATGAAGGACAAAAAAACCACTGTAATAACTTGGGATTCAGAACTGATACATTGATAAAATCTGTCAAAGTTACAAGTGCAAAGAGGATAATTGGGTACACAGCATCTAAAGAACATGCTTTACCACTACTATCAAAAGTCATTCCATACACATGCCAGCTTTAGAGAGGTTCTTCTGATAAGAGGGAATTTAGGCCTCATCCTCCTCTCCTTCCTCTTCAAATTCACCCTGCTCATCAGCAGTGGCATCCTGGTATTGCTGGTACTCCGAGACCAGGTCATTCATGTTGCTCTCCGCCTCCGTGAACTCCATCTCATCCATGCCCTCGCCCGTGTACCAGTGCAGGAAGGCCTTGCGCCGGAACATGGCCGTGAACTGCTCCGAGATCCTCTTGAAGAGCTCCTGGATGGCCGTGCTGTTCCCTATGAAGGTGGCGGACATCTTGAGCCCACGCGGGGGGATGTCGCAGACGGCCGTCTTCACGTTGTTGGGGATCCACTCAACAAAGTAGCTGCTGTTCTTGTTCTGCACGTTGAGCATCTGCTCGTCCACCTCCTTCATGGACATGCGGCCTCGGAAGATGGCAGCCACCGTCAGGTAGCGGCCGTGGCGGGGGTCGCAGGCGGCCATCATGTTCTTGGAGTCGAACATCTGCTGCGTCAGCTCGGGCACCGTCAGCGCTCGGTACTGCTGGCTGCCGCGGCTCGTCAGCGGGGCGAAGCCCGGCATGAAGAAGTGCAGCCGGGGGAAAGGCACCATGTTGACCGCCAGCTTGCGCAGGTCGGCGTTCAGCTGGCCGGGGAAGCGAAGGCAGGTGGTCACGCCGCTCATGGTGGCCGACACCAGGTGGTTGAGGTCCCCGTACGTGGGAGTGGTGAGCTTCAGGGTGCGGAAGCAGATGTCGTACAGGGCCTCGTTGTCGATGCAGTAGGTCTCGTCCGTGTTCTCCACCAGCTGGTGCACAGAAAGGGTGGCGTTGTAGGGCTCCACCACCGTGTCCGACACCTTGGGAGAGGGCATGACGCTGAACGTGTTCATGATGCGGTCGGGGTACTCCTCCCGGATCTTGCTGATGAGCAGGGTGCCCATCCCCGAGCCGGTGCCGCCGCCCAGCGAGTGGGTCAACTGGAAGCCCTGCAGGCAGTCGCAGCTTTCCGACTCCTTCCTCACCACGTCCAGCACGGAGTCCACCAGCTCAGCGCCTTCGGTGTAGTGCCCCTTGGCCCAGTTGTTGCCGGCCCCGCTCTGACCTACGGGCAGACCGGCAGCAGCGAGCCCCGTCAGCGCCCCCGCAAGGAGCGCAGATCCACCGCCGCCCACCCCACAGAGCTCGCACCCCTCTCGTTCCCATCCCCAGGGATTTGCTGGCATCCAGCGCCCCGGCTCGCTCACACGCCTGCTCCGAGCCTCCTGCACGCACCTCGCTCACGCTGGGGGACGCCTCCACGGCACGCTCACTCACCAAAGACAAAGTTGTCGGGTCGGAAGATCTGTCCAAAGGGGCCGGAGCGCACCGAGTCCATCGTGCCAGGCTCCAGGTCAACCAGGATGGCACGGGGGACGTACTTGTTACCTGCGGGAGGAACCAACGCAGCGTTATGGCCCTGCAGCCACAGCAGCACTGCTGTGCTCACCAGAGGTTCTCTACAATTCATTGCAGAGTTGCACTGTCTCTACCAGTGCTATCAGAGCCATTCTGAGAACAAAGCTCTGTAGATGGCAGCTCTTACTCAGGTATTTTTCAAGCTTTGACCTGGCATTTCTGCTTTGTTAATTTAAGGATGTCAGAGGATGCAGACCAACTCACCAGCAGCTTCATTGTAGTACACGTTGATCCTCTCCAGCTGCAGGTCGCTGTCCCCATGGTAGCTGCCAGTAGGGTCAATCCCATGCTCATCGCTGATGACCTCCCAGAACTGGAAGAAATGTTCATGAAAGGCAGCTGTTCACTACAGCTGGCCGGTGCCAATCACACGCTAGCAGTCTGTGCGCACGGCCTCCCCGACCACTCCCTAGCATGGTTGAGCGGCTGCCTGGGAGGAAGCTGCACCTCCATGAGTCAGTGCCGAAGAGTTTCCTTTGGCTGCGGCAGCTGAATTAACAGAAGCAGCGCTGAGGAGGACAGACGGGCAGCTGCAGCGCTGGAATTCGAGCTAATTCATTTTTAGCACGCATCCACGGGCTGACAGCACTCGCATACCCACAGATTTGAGACTCTTCTATTGTCTAGCCATGGCTTAAGGCCGCCTAGACCAGCCATGCTGTTCTACCGACACAGCAGCGTCACCGCAAGACGACAGCAGCCCCAGCACGCACCCGGGGCTGGCAGTGACGCCGCGCCCCTCTCTCTCGGAGCCGTACGCGTGGCTGCCAGCCGGCTGCGTACGACCGCGGACTCGAGCCCGGGCAGCCCCGCTGCGATCGCGGATAACCCCGGCGGAGCCACGCACCGCACCCCGGTGCCGGTCGCACGATCCTCGGCGAGCAGCCGCGAGGCGGCCCGTACCTTGGCGCCGATCTGGTTGCCGCACTGCCCGGCCTGGATGTGCACGATCTCACGCATGATGCCACCACCGCGCCGCACGCCCTCAGTCACCTCCCGCACTCCGCGCTGCGGCGGCCGCGCCCCGTCCGCGCCTTAAATTGGGCGCTGCGCACCGCCTCTCGGTGACGTCACGCGGCGGCGGCGAGCAGCCAATGGGCGCGCGGGAGCGGGGCGGCATTGTCTCCCGCCGCGGGTCCGACAGCCCAGGGCGGACGGCGGAGGCGCCCCTCGGCGCCGGGCAGCGTCCGCGGGACGGGGCAAGGCCGGGGACAGCTGGAACTCAGGAGTTGCAAAGGATTTACGCCGAGCTGCTTCTGCACCTGCTGGGTTCGTGCCTTTGCTTGTCCGCTGCAACAGCAGAGCGTGCGCTGCTGCTTTTTAGCAGCGCCTTCCAGCCTGTATTTCTAGCTCAGGCCTGCTGAGCTACGTTTTGACACCTCTGAAGCACAAGAATCATCGTTCTGTGGTTCTGACTCTTAAAACAAGCAGAAATTGGAGGACAGCCATGATAAAACCAACTCTACCAAAAATCTCATAAATACTTGAAAGGAAGCCACAAAGAAGATAGAGCCTGGCTCTTGTCAGCAGCACCCAATGACAGGAGGACAGGCAATGCGCACAACCTGGAATATCAGAAACTAAATGTAAACACAGGAAAAACTTTTGATGTCAGACACTGCTACTTGCTGGATGGTGTCCTTGGAGATATCCAGAACTCTGGGTACCAATCCGTCCTGGTCAGTCTACTGTAGCTGACCCTGCATTGGACTGGATGATCTCAAGGCATACCTCCCCACTTCAACTATTCATTGATGCTGTGAAAGGGAGAGGAGTGGACCAACATGTGTGACAAGTAATATCAGATTGATGGTTTATTGGTCCTAGCACCACACTGTGCTAATAAATGTTAAATTAAAATTATAGCAAAACGAGCAGAATTTTGCAGATGTGAGCTAATAGGTGATCTATTCACCAACACTTTCTTTGTTTTGCATTTGGCTGCTGTGACCTTTGGAAAATAAGGTGGAGATTTTTCAAATGCAGTCCTCAGTTTTCTTCAGTGTATTGATAAGCAAACAAACTATGTCTTTTTTCCTTCCATAGGGCAGAAACCTCAGCTACAGTGAAATATCATGAACTGGCTCAAGCTCGGTAGCACATGGAATTACACGCTATTGCTTTTGAACCACAAAATATCCAAGATTATACCAGCACTGAGATTTTTTTTTTTTTTAATTGGCTTCTGTGTTCATTGTATCCTGCTATTGTATTTTCCACTGACATATTTTTGCAGTACTTAATCACAGGCAATCTTTGTTACTGCTAGTGCAACTTGTGCATGTACATTTCTACATGCTGTGGGTGTAGCCTGCATTTTTTTAGGCAGCCCCAGGCTGTTGCATCTTCTCACTATTTGCAGAGCTGCAAAACAGCTGTCCCTCTTGGCATCTCTATGGGATATACACAAGCATTTAAGAGCTTTTTGGCTGCCAAGTTATTCTTGGAAATCTACAAAGCAGCAGCTTTAAGCATTCTTACTCCCCATCTGAAGGTACCTGGACAATCCCTGACATGCCTTCCTCCCACATACATACAGTGGCTTCCTTAGAGCTTTATTATTATACTCTTAAGGATTTTGAACTTTAAATTCACAGAAGCTGTAACACCCATTTCTTTGTTAAAACCTCACTGGTTTTTAGGAGTGTAACTCCACATTTAAAAAAAAAAAAAAAGTATCCACCTACAGCGAGGCTCACGTTTATGTTTCTAAAAAGTTCCCTTATCTACAGTAACGCTGAGCACTCACAAACACCCAGCAAAGAAAATCAAACATTAATTGCTTAAATGTCAATGCAGAATCCTACAAATAAACACTATACAAAACCCTTAGCCATTAGTGGCATTTAAATGAATAGAATGGTTCACTATAGCATTTTTAACAGGTTTTTGTTTCGCAAATTTGAGGTATTTAGTATCGCGAACAAAAATCCAAATGCCCCCATTCATAGATTTGCAGTGCCTGTGCGTAGGAACGCCCATGTGCCTCCCTGCAGCCCAACCACTGCTTGCAGCTCAGCAGCCAGCTGAACAAAACTCTACCTTCCCCTGTTTCCAAGGCAACCGCAGAGCCTTGGAAATGAGCTGCGCAAGGGAGGCGACGGAAACCTCAGCGCATTTTAACGTATCTGTAATTTCCTATTGTAGGATGGAGAATTGCAAACACACAAATATGAGAGCTGCTGAAGCATACACAATAATAGACTGAGCGTCTGCCTATGGCTTTATTCTCATTTACAAGGGGTGATAGCACGTTGCTTAGACAAAACGATTTTGTTCAGTCTTCCCATTGAAATGAATGATTTTGCTCTGTCCATTAGCTTTTTGTCTGAATTCTATGATGAAAACTCTGAGATCACCTATCCAACACTTAATCACTAGCGATGCGTTAAGAATATTTCCCCCAGAAAGAGGATGGAATATTTGTGGAGCAATTTTAATTCTAGTAGTAAAATGATAACAAAAATCTATT